TTTATTTTCTATATTTATGATATTTCAGTATTGACTGATGGACACTGACAGTAGAAAACTTTTACACAAACTATAGACTGAAAATAAATCATTAATAAAAAATAATAGCATTAGAATGGAAACTAGTTAACCACATTTTATGCTTTTGCAAAAAAAACAAAAAAACAAAAATAAAAACTCAAATGCAAAATGCAGCAAAAAACATTTATAAAAAATAAGATTGTTGTATATGTGTTTCTATAAAATAAGTTTTATTAAAATGTGCACTTTGTGTGAGTAAATTATTATTACAGCAGATCTTTCAAACACTTGTGAAATGTTGCAGTCTAACATTCTTCCAAATGCAGAAAATAAAAATATTTATTATTCTGAATTAGCATTTTACTGCAGTATTTCCTGCACAAAATAACCCTAGCTTTAATATTTAATGTAACGTTATATATTTCTCGTGTGTTTGTGTTACCTGTGGAGCTGTGGAGCTGTGGTGGTGTGTTGTTGTTGTTGTTGTTGTTGTTTGTTCTCCTCATGTATTAATAAATAAACAGCTTTTTATTCTCCGATGTTTTTGCTGCTTTATAAATCTTTTCCTTCTTTTTCTCTGCCTTTATTTTGATATGATTGGTAATGAGAGTGCTGGAGATGGAGAAGAAACCTTCACCTTCAACCTTCTCATTATTTTATTATTAATTTTTACGCTGCACTAAACATAAATAATAAATTTTATAAACAATCCTACACAGAGCCGTAGCCTTAAATAATCTAACACACTGAAATATTCCATAAAATGTGCACGGGAATATCGTACTAGCGTCCTGACCAGGCTGTAGTGCAGAACTTGGTCCATGTAAACGTAAGGTAGATGCCTTCAATCACCGTTAAACCAAAACTCGATTACGACGAGGTCACCATCAGAAACTCCTACAGAAGCTTTAACCCCATTTAAAGAGCCAATAATCATTAAAAAAAATAATCGCTGGACAGGCCACGCCCACAAGAGACAAACTCCACGTGATTTATCACCTGCTAGTGTGAACGCATGTTATTTTACTGGTTAAATTATTTAAATTATAATCTTCACTATGCATTTTAATAGATTGTAAATGAGTGTATGATTTCAAATTAATCTCTAATTAAATTCATATATAAACTGTTCCAACGTTACTTTTCTATTAATCCCATGAAAAATAAACACATTGTGTAAGAAACTGCTCAAAGTCTAGGATAAAGCCATGATATTGTTATTAATTGTTGTAATATTAACGGTATTTGTGTTTATTTTTGGTGTTTTGAAAGCTGGGTTCCTCTTTGGCCCGTGTAGTAGTGAGGAAGCTGCATTTTTACAGTCGAGCTGAAAGACAGCTGCCTCAAAGAGCTGGTGAAGATGCATTATTGAAGGGACTGACTGATGGACACTTCACTCCCAGGCGGCTCTTTTACTCTGAACAGAAAAAAGGCAGTGAGTTTCAGTCACCTGAGCGCAGGGAAATATCACACTCCACTCAGGGTAATGTAGCGCAACACAAAGCTAATAAACACACACACACACACACACACACACACACACACACACAATGCAAAGTAACACTTATTGTCTACAGTAAGACATTAGTTAGCTAGCTTTCTGAAACAGCAGTCTGAGGAGAACGTTTACAGACGCTGCTTAAATGATGTCACTAAAAATATAAACAAATCAGCTTAACTAATTAACTAATTAACTAATCTATAACTAATCTATAACTAATCTATAACTAACGAGAGTCCTTGAGTTTATGTGTTAGAGTTATTTTCCTGTGACAGCACGTCCCCAAGCGTTTTATTCCTTTTATACCACATCATACTTTTTATTAGTTTATTGTTATATTTAATGCTGTGGAACGCCCATGTGACGAGTGAGTTCCTGTTGTCGCTTATGTTATAGCAGCTATAAACACTCGTTCCCTCACCAGCCTCTCTTTATTCTCTCTCTTCAAGTTAATAAGATTAAAAAACGCATCTTGTTACGCATGTTATTGAGAAACTGCAAAGAAGCGTAAACTCCTCTGTCCTGAAGATGTCGGAAAACTCAAAGTTACAGCTTTACCTCTGACTGTTACAAAGCGCTGACACTGGAGACTCCTTCCATACATGTTACATAAACATCTCCTTCACCAAATCAACGATTACACGGTTTTTAATCCATTTAATTCTGTACATGTGAATGAGCTGTTACTATAGAAACAATAACGTATTAGAACGAGTGCATTAATAGAAACCTGCGCTACTGTCAGAGCTGCTGTTATAGAGAATTAATCAACACCTTCTGACCAATCAGAATCCAGAATTCAGCAGTAGCTAGGGATAATGTTTGTTTGTTTGTTTGTTTGTTTGTTTAAAAGTTGTGTGTAGCTGAAAATCAGAAGATTATGTTGTCATTTAAGTGAAAGTGTTGTGGGGTTTGAAGATAAAGATTTGCGACGGGAGATTCGTGATTCATTTTGGTGAATCATTTTGGTGAATCATTTGGTCGTCCGAGTTGATGAGTAAGGCCCTTTCATGTCCACCACAAGATGGCGATGTGACTCAGTGTGTGTGTGTGTGTGTGTGTGTGTGTGTGTGTGTGTGTGTGTGTGTGTGTGTGTCAGACCGCTATATGAGCTTCATATTCACACCGGCGGAGCTTCAGCTCATAGCTCCATCATCTCTGGAGTTTTCCTCTCCATCTTCTGTCCATCTTCTGTCCATCTTCTCCTCTTTCGGTGTGGGATGTAAAGGCAGCGCGGCGCTTTCTTCAGCTTTGCGTCTTTGTGTCTGGAGCCTCTGATGGTGAGGGTTTGGGAAGAGCGCAGAGGAGGAAAGTTGCTGGGATCTCGCAGGGAGGAATCTGAGCAGCTCTGGATTGTGGAAGTCTGGTTCTTCTGGGGTTTGTTATTAAAACTGAGTGATGATTCGAGCAGTGTGAAGACTCCTGGCGGGGAGAAGTGCTCTGAGCTGCGGGAGAACTTCAGCTGGATGCGGGAGGTGTGATTCATTTCCTTTTCCATCTGATCCACCGGACATTCTGACGTCACCGAGAGATAACACACACACACACACACACACACACACACTGAAACAGATAATAAACTGTAAAAGTGTTCCTGTGCTACACACTGAACTGTACTGAACCACGTGACCACTCGTGCTTCCTGAAGATGAAGATGATGATGAAGATGAAGTAATTATTATTAATGGTTAATTCATCACAGTTATAAAAGTGTGTGTGATGGAGTGTGTTACACTGACTGACTGTGAGGAAGTCCCGCTCTTTTGGATTTAACACACACACACACACACACACACACACTCTTGTATAGTGAAGGATACACACACAGAAGCACAAGATGATGAGACTTACGTGTGTGTTACTGGTTCTGCTTTTCCACTACGGAGCTACTCAAGGTAAGACACGCTGGAGTGTGTGTGTGTGTGTGTGTGTGTGTGTGTGTGTGTGTGTGTGTGTGTGTGTGTGTTCAATCAAACTTTCAGGTAAAAAATATCATATGATCATTAGTGCTCACAGACTGCCACAGCTACTGGACTCGGAGTGAATAATCTTCTGTAACAGCAGCTGTTTTTTATTGTGCTTTGGGTTTTTATTAATGTGTTTAATCTGAAGAAAATCTCTCTATACACTATATATGTACATATAAATAGTTTGTTTTATTATTTGTTTGTTTTTTTTTAAACCTGCGTTCTTGCGGTAGTGGCTCAGGGCTCCAAAGCGAGTGTTTACAGTACATCACTTACAGCTACTAACATCCCTGCATATTAAATAATGATAAAATGATTTTAAAACATCTGGGTTACTGAAGGTCAGAAGGTCAGGGGTCAAACCCCAGCGCCGCCAAGCTGCCACTGTTGGGCCCTTTAACCCTCTGTGCTCCAGGGGGCGCTGTGTCATAGCTGACCCTGACCTCTGACCCCAGCTTTCTAACAAGCTGCGATATGCGAAGAAAAGAATTTCACTGTGCTGTAATGTATATGTGACAAATAAAGACTTCTGCTGCTGAATGCTGGATTCTGATTGGTCAGAAAGTGTTTTTCTATAACAGCAGCTCTGACAGTAGTGCAGCTGCACATCACACGAAAACCAGATTAAAAACACATGTAATCATAGATGTGGTGAAGTTTTCTGTAAGGAGATGTTTATGTAACACTGATGGAAGGAGTCTCCAGTGTCAGCGCTTTGTAACAGTCAGAGGTGAAGCTGTAACTTTAAGGAGTTTCTCGGTAACATGACAAGTTGCGTTATCTCTGTGGCTTATTAACTTCAAGCTCAGTGCCAGAGGCATCGAAGGGGAGTCTTCAGCGCCAACAACGTTTGACCTTGCTGTGACCTTGACCGTGTTTTTGGGTCAATTCCAAAATCAGTTCATCTGCTGGTTAGAATGATGATTCACTATAAATCCTACGAACACTCGACCACTCGTTCTTGAGATTTTGTACTAACGACAGACGATCTGAAACATAGCGCTAGTGACAGAGGCGTAAAAACAGCGGCTGCTGAGGGAACGACTGTTTATAGCTGCTGTAATACCAGTTGTGTGTGTGAGCACGCTTGGCAATAAAGCGCTTTCTTCTTCTTCTGTAATATAATTAAGAACAGAAACTAAATTGTTTTACTGATGTTCCGCAGCGTTAAATGTAAATATAAACATGTGCATGTTTACAGCGTTTAGCAGACGCCCTTTTCCAGAGCAGCGTACGTTTATACAGCGGAGCAGCTGAGGGTTAAGGGTCCAGCACGCAGGGGTTTGAACTCACGACCTTCCAGTCAGAAGCTCCAGCTGCCCTAAAGGGATAACGTGCATAAAAAGTATGACATGTTATTCTTTCGGCTGCTCCCGTTAGGGGTCGCCACAGCGGGTCATCGGTCCGCGTATTTGATTTGGCGCGGTTTCTCCGCCGGATGCCTTTCCTGACGCAACCCTCCCCAGTTTTATCCGGGCTTGGGACCGGCACTGAGAGCGCATGCTGCATGATTCCCTGGCCAGGGATCGAACCCGGGCCGCAGCGGGAGAGCACTGAGGCCTAACCACTAGTCCTCCAGGGACTCTTATTCTCTAATAAATAAAATAAATAAATAAATAAAACACTCAGTGACGTACTGTTATAAGAAAATAATCAACTTCGGGATGGTAACAGTAACTCCGCTTCATCACACTTTCATTCATTTGCTTCTAACTGTTTGTATTCTGCTGTTCTGATTGTACTCGAATAATTACACATCATTTTTTTTTAGTAATTTGGGAATTTAATATTCAGTACGTGATAGTAAATGTTTTTATTACAAACTTGTTCCAGGTGTTTTTAAAAATTCATTCGCACCTTTCCCAGCTTCTTTCACCCCTTTTCCTTCTGTAGACTTGCTGAACTTCGTGTGTGTGTGTGTGTGTGTGTGTGTGTGTGTGTGTGTGTGTGAGGTCATCTCCATGTTGACTGGTCATAAGGAGGAATAGTGACACTTTTATATCATGCAGCAGATTTGAAAACATCAATCAAAATGTGTTGAGAAAAGAATTGAGATTGTGATTTTATTTTATTTTATTAATTAAGTTAATTTGTGCTCAGTCAGTGTGTGTCTGTGTGTGTGTGTGTGTGTTGTGTGTGTGATGTTAATTCACACTGTGCTCGTCCCTTCATCTGCTCCTTAAACACTCTGATTGGCTGGTTTCGTCCCACACGCTAAGCAGAAAGAGCTCTTGTTTAAAATAGCATGAGTGATTACAGCTGCCAACACACACACACACACACACACACACTCTCACACACACACACACACACTCTCACTCACACACACACACACACTCACACACAGAGTGAGGCAGTTAGCCAGGTCGCAGGTTTTAAACACTCACTGTGTGTCCCTTTTGAGTTGCTGTGTTGAGTCACGGCTGAGAGTAACACACTGCGTTATAGAAATTACACACACACACACACACACACACACACACACACACACACCCTCCCTCCTCTCTCTCTCTCTCTCTCTCTCTCTCTCTCTCTCTCTCTCTCTCTCTCTCTCTCTCTCTCTCTCTCTCTCTCTCTCTCTCTCTCTCTCTCTCTCTCTCTCTCTCTCTCTCTCTCTCTCTCTCTCTTTCTTTCTCTCTGTCTCTCTCTTTCTCTGGTGTCTCTGTGAGAAATCTTCATCTGTTCAACTATCTATCTTTCTGTCTCTGCGCTCATTTCATCCACAGCATTCCTCTCTCAGCCATTTTCACCATTTGTCTTTTTTCAATCATCCGTTCTGTCCATCTCTCTTTCACGGCTGTGACCTGTCATCTTCACCATTGTTTATCTTTTCATCCTTCTCTCTCTCTCTCTCTCTCTCTCTCTCTCTCTCTCTCTCTCTCTTTTTTTTCTGCCTGTATTTTTTTTAATTGTTGTCTATACTTTAATGTTCTGTGGTTTAAATTCTGGTTAGTTTTGGATAAAACTAATCTTTACCAACATGGCAGTTAGGATGGGATTCGTATTACCTGGAGTTATTTTTGCTCATTCTGTAGAAGGTAAAATATGCGGTAATGTGCACACGCAATCCGAAAACTTTCCTGACAGATTTGGTATAAAATCCCAGAGATACTCTAGGAATAATTCTCTGGTAATAAAACCCGCTAAATGATTACGATAAATGATCAGTGTGTTAACAAGGCAAGACTTCGCAATGAATAAATGACATTGACGTGTTTATACACTGAGTCAGGAAGCGTTCGGCCGAGGCGTGTTAGAAATCTGGGGACTGCGACCTCTGCTGGTGAGAACAGGTAATGTCTAAGGCTGCAGCTACAGACCCCCCTCGGTTTGTCTCCATCATTAAGTGTCGGTTGCTCTCAGTCATTAGAAATCGGTTTGTTTCCATCGCTAGACGTCGGTTTGTCTCCGTCGCTGGATGTCGGTTTGTCTCCGTCGCCAGACGTCGGTTTGTCTCCGTCGCTAGACGTCGGTTTGTCTCCGTCGCTAGACGTCGGTTTGTCTCCGTCGCTAGTTGTTGGTTTGTCTCCGTCGCTAGATGTCGGTTTGTCTCCGTTGCCGGACGTCGGTTTGTCTCCGTCGCTAGATGTCGGTTTGTCTCCGTCGCTGGACGTCGGTTTGTCTCCGTCGCTAGTTGTTGGTTTGTCTCCGTCGCTAGTTGTTGGTTTGTCTCCGTCGCTAGTTGTTGGTTTGTCTCTGTTGCCAGACGTCG